TTGGGGTTCCTGTAGACATGCCGTCCCAGCAGGGCGATACGAGGGTCATTCTGAGCCCCCGGAGCCCAGACCTGAGCACCTGGAGTCTGGTCAGGCAAGGCAGCCAAGCAGGCCAGGTGGGCTTGGGGTAGAAGCGGGGAGGCTTCCAGAAACAGGAAACAAACTCCCTCCAGCTAGTGTCAGCCCCAGTGGGGGCGGGGCAGCTGGCTCTGATGTGTCCCTCTCTCTGAGAGGGAGACCCTGACGGTGGCACAGCACTGGTGCCCACCCTCCAGGTAGAGCGGGGAGATGGAGCGTGTCCACTGCCCCACGGCACCCCCACCCTGTCCAAGGGGTCCCACGGCTGGGGAAGGGGCTATCATGTGATTAAGGATGTGGGTGTGCTCATGAGGTCACCCCAGACTAGGAGATTACTGGATGGGCACAAGCCCCCTAACCTGGGGAGGTTGAGGCAGGGGTGTGCCGTCTCACCCGTTTCGAGCAAAGTTGGCCCAGTACTTCATCGTCTTCCTGCTTAGCCGCTCCTCCTCCTCAGTGAATTTAACTGCAGAGAGGAAGGGGACATGTATCTTAGTCAGGATGGTCCACCTCAGCATCCCAGGGGGAGCTTGTCCATGGCCCCCCAGCCCTCGGTCCCCAGTCCCGCTTCTCTGCTTTTTCTCCCACTGCCCTCAGAAGCCAGTCCTCCCCTTTTCCAAACTTTCCCCTTAGCCCAGGCTCTGACTGACTCCATCCTTCCTGGTCCTGAAGGCCCCTTCTTCCTTCTGCCTGTGGGAGTCATTCAAGAAACAAACATGTCCCTGAAACACCTGCTCTGAACCAGGCAGACACCCAAGTGTGGGGAGGGATGGAGGAAGCACAGGCCACAGTCTGAAGAGTCATGAATTCTAATCCTGGCACAGCCTTTGGAGCTGTAACATCTTGGACACCTGATCTCATCCTGTCTCTGAGCCTCAGTTTCCTTATCTGGGCAGTGAGGACAATGAATCACCCCTCAGGGACCCAGCCAGGGACCCAGCCCACCTCCCGGGAAAGGAATAAGACTCACCATAGTTGCCCCAGAAGAAATTTCCGAAAACAAAAGGAATCTCATCACCATGGTCTGCCTTCACGTGCGGCGGCCTGATGTTCTTGACCCAGCTAGGCTGATGCTGGAACTCATAGAAGTACACAGGGGCCCGGGAACCTGTGGGTGGACAGCTCGTGACACAGTGGCCCCTCCCCTGAAGCCTTCTTGCCTCACCCATGCGGATAAGATACCCAGGTCCAATGCTGACTGGAATCTGGACAGTGGGGTGTGGAGCCCCAGGCTGGGGCAGGAGCAGAGGAAGAGGCGGGATAAATCATGGCCCGGACTTCTTAGCTGTATCATCTTGGGAAAGTCACTGAAGGTCCCTAACTTCAATTTCCTCATCTGTGAAACGGGGAAATGTCTGTCTCTTGGGCTAGCCATGAGGATTTACTGCAGTGATGGACCTCAAGTGTCCGCGGAACCCAATAAACATGAGTGGGACCCGGATAGCAGCAGGTCTCACCTAGGACCCACAGCCCTGAGCTGTACCCCTGCCAGTCAGGCCTTAGGTTCAAATATACTCACGCTGAAAATGTGCTACTTGGAGTGCAGGGATCACGAACATGGAGTCTGCCATCATCTCCTCGAACTGGGCTTGGAGGTTCTGGGGCTCCCCATTGTCCCCAATGTACTCCTCCATCAGCAGGTCACTAAATGTAGGAGGCAACATCTACCCCAGGTGGATCAGGAAGAGGCAGGTTAGGCTGGATGTCAGGGGCAGGGAGGAAGTGGCCTCGGGCTTGGGGAGATGGACCGTGAGATGGAACTGGAAGAGGGAACAGAGGCGAGGCTCTGAGGTGACCCCACTCCCAAACACACACACACTCGGGCCTTTGCTCATGGGGGTCACTGCATAGGCAGGGTATCTGGGGGTTGAATTTCCTCTGCCTCAGGACAGGAGAGGAGCCTTTCTCTGTTGGCGAGGAACCCCAGGAGCCTTACCATCAGCGTTAACATTTTTTGCAGAACAGCCTGGAAGGCCTCTCTGTCCATTTCCTTCTGAGTGTCATAGATACTTGTGTCCTGGGTGGCCGGGAGAGAGTCTATAGTTGGGGATGGGATGAGCCTGGAGCTATGAAGCCCTGAACACTCCCCACTACCAGATGGGCTCCCCAGGCACTTGACAGCTTGGGTTGGGCCTCACACTGGGGTTGATCCAGCCGAATTCATCATTGTTGACACCAATGATGCTGGGGACAGGTTGAAACTCGGCAGAGGCCAGCAGCTCCTGGGGGTGCCTGGGCAGGAAGATCCCATCCACCACTCCGGGGATCATCATGTTGAAAGGCTGAGGGGAAATGCAAGGTCAGGGAAGAAGGTTGGGTCCCAGACATCTTCCAATGCCTTCTGAGTACCTTCCACTCCTTCCCGGTTCATCCGCGGATGCTCATATCCAATCAATGCCTGGCTCGGGCATGCACCAACCTTCAGTCTCCACCCAGGGCTATGATACCCAGGCAGGCAAATAAGGTAATGTGCCCAGGGAATATGAGGACCATGCAGACCTGCCAGCCCCATGTCTCTTGCACCCCTTCCTCTACACCCACATCCGTTTAGACCAACCTTGTTAATTGCAAGAATCTCCTCTTTACTCTTGCCCCTCAGGCAGCCCACTAGGGCCTCAGAGTCAACTTGACCACAGGCTGACAGATTGGCCACCACCTGCAAAGGGAGCAGGCAGGGGCTGGCTCATCCTTCTGAGTAGAGAAGAGGAGTTTGCCCAAGGCCCTGGCCAAGAACAGGGACACCCCAAATCTCACAGGGTACTGCGTATGAATTCCTGCAGTTCTGACACTGTTCCAACTCAGAAGTTGCAGACATAGGAGCCATCCCATCTGCCTAGATGGTTCTCCTCATGATAGGGATCCCTAGGGTGACAACTTTGCACAGAGGCCACAGAACAAACTTGGCCTCTCCAATGGCAGAAGGATGTGCATTCTGACCCTGGAGCCCCCCAGCAATTCCAAGGTAGGCGGCAGCTCCTGGGGCATGCTCTCCCATGGCCCTTGTCATCCCCACTTAACAGACAGAAGGGGAGGTAGCAGGCCTAGGCCTTCACAGCTGAGGGCACTCACCGTGGAGATAACATCAGCTGAGCTGGCAATGAGGCCCGGCAGCAGGGCCACGCCACTCTCCATGATGGCCCCATGGAAGAGTCCTTGGGATATGGGGGACACAACAAGTGAAGACACACTCGTGCCACCCGCAGACTCGCCAAAGATGGTGACACGGTCAGGGTTGCCTCCAAAGTGGGCGATATTCTGCTGGACCCAGCGTAGTGCAGCCACTTGGTCCAGGTAGCCCCAGTTGCCGGTTGCATGCTTGTCTCCAGTGCTGAGAAGTAGCAGGGACAGGGATGACAGGGCCGTCCTGGCCCCGCTTAGCCCTCATTGCCCAGCCCAGCCCTAGTCTCACCTGAAGAAGCCCAGGACACCCAGGCGGTACTGGATGGTGACCACCACCACGTCCTCAAAGGCAGCCAGCATGGAACCGTCATACATGGAAGCCATGCCAAAAGCAAGCCCACCACCGTGGATCCACACCATCACCTGGGGAAATCAAGGCAGCTACCACGATGCTCCAACCCAGCCAGAACCCCACCAGGGCCACTACCTAGACCAACCAGTGCTTTGCCTCTGCCTACCTCCCCATTAGAACTCCAGCACAAATTCATTATGTGAGTCACAGACTAGGTACCCAGGATCTATCAGGAAGACCAGGCCTCACATCTTTTGGACTGACCTCTCGTATCAAAGCCTGGTTTCATTTGTCCCAGAAGACACCAAAGTGGAAAGAAAAGGGGCGTCTCCCTGACGGCTCCACATGAACATTAATCAAAAATGTCCTTAGCCTGAACCACATAGTGAGACCCCCTTTCAAGAGAAAATGTTTTAAAAATTAGCCATTCATGGTGGCATAGGCCTGCAATCCCATCTTCTCGGGAGGCTGAGATGGGAGGATCGTCCAGGAATTTGAGGCTACAGAGACCTACGTTCATGCCACTGCATTCTAGCCTGGGAAACAGAGCATGATACCACCTCTAACAAAAAAAGTTTTGTGAGTGCCCATTCTCATAGGCCCAACAGATTATCTATGGCTGGGATTCTTGGTAACCTCAAGGTGCAGCCCTTGGGCACTTGAGTGGATGTCCTGGGTGTGAGTTGGCTGGGTGAGTCCTGGGTCCAGCCCAGAGCCACAGCCTTTGACCTCTCGGAGCAGCCAGAACTCTGTGACCTCATGCCCAGGGGCCAGCTGCCCAGCCTGGGTAAGGAGCATTTCTTGGACCTGACAGTGAGAAGTTTCTCAGTATGGTCCACTCTGCAGCAGGGCCTGACCTAATATTGTCCTTTCCAGCTTCTTGCAGAACTGTCATCCAACCCCCAGTGAACTGTGGCCTGACACTCACCGGTAGGTTAGAGCCTTCGTGGCTGTAGGCCGGCGTGTAGATGCTGAGATACAGGCAGTCCTCAGACATGGAGATGGAAGGGATGGTCACATTGACTTGGCTCTGAACCTCTGAATCCATTATGGTGAGGTCCTGAAGACACCTGGTAACCAGAGCAAACAATCAGTCCAGCGGCCACATCACGACCAAAACCAGACCCTGGGTTCAGATGTTCCCCCAACCACCCTCAGCCCCTTCTCACAATATTCTGCTCACACATGATCCCTCCTAAAAATCCCTTCCCACCAAGTTACAGGCCACAGGTTCTGGGGAAGCTGGGAGGGAGCTTGGACTTCCAGGGAGGTCTCGAGGTCATTGAGGACCTTGGGTATCATTCCTCCCAACATTGGAAACCTTGACTCTCAGGGGTTTCTCTGAGAACCATTGGCTGCATGTGTTGACATTCACCACTATATCGCTGTACCCCCTCAGGCCTGGGACAGGGGAATAGCCCACATATGTGTGCTACATGAGTGAATGGATGTTAATTTCTCATGAGAAGGGCAGTGGGATGTCCCTCATCCCAAGTCTAAACTCTCAAAAACTCATCATTCCCACATGGCCTCCAGTTGGAAAAATATACACGTCTCTTGGCCAATGGCTCCTGGCCCTGTCGGTGGACACAGTGACCAAGTGCGGGTCCCCAGAAAGTTACCACTACTGTTCTCTTCAGCTATTTGCAACATCTGCCACTAGAGTTAGGGGCTCCTACAAGGTTCATAGAGCTACATCGAAACTTTCCCAGAGACACCTGCCACTGGTGGCAGAGAAAGCTTGGCATAACCAGAATCTGGGGAGATCTGTGTCTCTGCCCCTCCCTTCAGCACCTGGAGCCAATGTCTCCCGAATGCCAAGCCTTGAGCCAGGAGTCTGAGAAGTTATTCACCCTCCCGAACCTCAGCATGCTCATTGGAAAAATGCACGTGGGAATCCACGAAACTCAGAAGAAAAACTGGCTGTGGGGGTTTAGGTGACATGACAATTGCAGCCTAGCTGAGCTTAGAGCACCTCCACCCCTGCCCCAGGTCTTGGAGTTCCCTGGACCCCTGGGAGAGCTTACACATCCGGATGGGTGGTTCCATCCCTCACACCACTCCAAGATTCAGGGGGTTCAGGGGGTGCAAATCGCAGCGGACCTAGAGGTGGCTTGGCAAAGGGAATTCCCAGGAAGGTATGGACCCCAGTATCGGCGCCCCTGACATGGACAAGACTCCCCAGCACCTGGCCCGTGTGTGTGGTCCGGATGGGACTGGCAGAGTCCTGGCCTGTGGGCAGAGAGACAGA